TTTTTGTTGTTTCAAGTTTTAGAGGCAAGAGCAGTATCAATTCTGTTGGATAAAATGAAGTCAAACAGAATCAGGCAGTGGTCAGGAGATTCCCTTATCCAAACCTCAGTTAAATACATAAACAGTAAAATCATTTGTTTGTTTCAAGTAAAGCCTCCTCCCCCCTTTTTTTTTTCTAGTTTAAGCCAAGGCTATAGAACTGAGGGCCATTTGGTATATGCTCTAGATTGCAGAAGAGAAAGATACAGCAAAGCTTTAGCTGCTCAGAATAAGTGTTGTTTAAACTTTATTCCAAGGACTCAATTTTATTAAAAAACTCAACCAAAAAAAAAAATGACCTTATCTCTCAGGGTTCATGGCATTTATGATTCTGAAGTCAGATCCAAAGCATCTGACCTCACATTCCTATTTTACTCTTTGATAGTGATGAACAAAATAGTCCTTAAAAATCAGAGTCAGCTGAAATTCAGTAAGGGCATCTGTCAGTACCATAATATTAGATTTGGGCCAGCATTTAAAAATGGGTAATTAGGAATCTGGCTCTTTTTGCTGTGCTGAGATCCCGGCCAAAATCTCCCCATTGCAGGTGGTCTGTGGGAACTGGGTTCATGAAGGCTTTGATGTGGTTCTATTTATGTCTCTATGTTAGACAAGAACCCCGAAGCCATAGCTCCTGTGACTCTGCCAGACTAGCATCCAAAACAAAGCACAGACCTTGTTTCCAAGGGACCCACCACAATTCCGTATGAGCACAGTGCCCAGAGCCCTAGTTGTGGATGGCCTTATTGTTTGTTTCTGCTATCGGCCTGGCTGCCGGGACGACAGTGGACTGTGTCTGTTTCTCCCTGAAGCCAGAAGGCCAATATTCAGTAGAGGGATGGGCTAATACACTCTGTACCATCAAATAGAATATCGCTAGTCCTATTAGTCACTGGAGGGTCCGTCGGCAAGGTGGTGGGACAGGTTCCTGTTGATAGATCTTAGCAATAAAAGTATTCCTTCATTTATATTTACTGGGTTATAAATATCTCTCCAGTACACTGCCTCATTTGATACTTAAAACTATTTTGTGGTATAGGAGAAGTTTGTATTTTTATTCTCATTTTCAGGTGAAAGGAGAAATTTGGAAGGGTTAAGTGGTGTGCCTCCAATCACCAGGCCAATAATTAACAGGTCCAAGAACTATTCCCAGCTTTGCCATCTCTCCATCAGCTTCTATTTGATCTTCAATCACCTGCTGTATGAGTTGACAGAATAGTGGCTGTGTAATAGCATTTAAGACTCTCTTCACCAGTACATCTGACCCAGCAACATTCAGACTTCCAGTTGTGGCTACTGCTGTGACGTCACCAATTCTACCATACTGATTGTCAGCCATGCAGCATGTCAAGGTCACAGACTTAAAAAATGAAAATCAGAATCCTACTATGCTTGCCATGTCTAGAGCGGTTGGAGGAAGATGCAGTAAGGGGCATATTTTCAGGTGGTTTGGGTTAAGTTTTTAAGGTCTGGATAGCATAAAATTTATAACTGGATCACAGTGTGGTAGCAGTGACTTTCTTATTCAATTAGAAAATATACCATGCCTGTGATTTTCAAAAAACTATGCTGAATTGTAGAGACCCGTTAAGAAATATTATGGGGTGCCTCGGTGGCTCAGTCGGTTAAGCGTCCGACTTTTGGTATCAACTCAGTTCTTGATCTAAGGGTCATGAGTTCAAGCTGTGCATTGGGCTCCACACTAGGCATGGAGCCTACTTTAAAAAAAGAAAGGAAATATTACAAGGACTTCTCTCCAAGAGTTCATAATTCCATTGGAGAGAGAATTCATGTGCACATAAAATAACCAGCAACTTAGGGCCCTGTTCATTAATGCTAAGGGGAGGACCAGGTGGAAAGGCTTATAATTTAGCAGGAGCATCACAGTGAATTGAGGGGATCTTAGAAGACTTGGATTTTCATAGTGGAAGTAAAGTCCGATGCTGTATGTGAAATAGTGGTAGGCATTCTAGATGATGGCTTGAGGATAACAGAGGAAAAAAAATGGGCAAAAACATGGAAATGAATAGAGCATGTTGGAAATACAATTAAATCCATCCCACTAAACGTAAGAATTTACAATAGTGAGGTTTGGGAGATTGATGTACAAATGTTGGGAAGATTATGGATGGCTCTAAATGCCAGTATGATAGTTGATTCTGTAATCTTGAGGAAAGTAGTTATTTGGGTATCTTGAGACAGACACTGATATGTAAGAAGTAGCTTTTTCCCTGGTGGCTGTGCCCAGGATTAGTGAAGAACACAGGGGGAAACAGACTACCCCGGGAGAAAGAAGTTAGCAAATGGAGCTAACTTTGCCATCTCTCCATCAGCTTCTATTGGATGTCCCGATGTGAAGTGACCCATCAGTGGGGCCTGAGGGCTGCTGGCTGGGAGGAGCAGGCTGGGGGGACCTGGTCATGCTGCCCCGGCTGGCCTCTGGGGTCCCTGTGCAGACCCTGCACCTGCTTCAGTATATTTGCTCTTGGCTACAGCTTCCTTCCTCACACACTCACAAATTGTTGCTATGGCCCTAAAGAGAAGTTTTATTCATCTCTCTTTCACCTGGTCCATCAAGAGTGGCCCAAGAGGTGATGGCGAACTTGACGAACACCTCCCGTGTGAATTCATTCCTTCGTACTTGGTTCCATCTTATACCACATAGACTCATATTGAATTGAATTATACCATATTGAATTGAAAGGACCGGGCTACCTAACCCTTTGGCCCCCTGACTTTGTGTCCTCTCTGTGAGCCCTTTCTTTTTTTTAAAGATTTTATTTATTTATTTGAGAGAGAGAATGAGAGAGAGAGAGCACGAGAGGGGGGAGGGTCAGAGGGAGAAGCAGACTCCCTGCCGAGCAGGGAGCCCGATGCGGGACTCGATCCTGGGACTCCAGGATCATGACCTGAGCTGAAGGCAGTCGCTTAACCAACTGAGCCACCCAGGCGCCCTCTGTGAGCCCTTTCTGTCAGGAGGTTCTCACTCCCGGTGCTGGGGAAGTGTGGGTTGTTGCCACACAGCAGCGAACACCACACCTATCCTAATAATGAAGTCCATGTGTGTTTTATAAACAGTGCGTCCTTTCTGTGGAAAATGACAGTATTGTTGACAGGAGGAGGCAATTTTTGGGGGAGAGGTGAGCGTGTTAGTGTCCCCAAGACCACCTGTTTTGAAGATTCGCTAGGATTACTCCTAGGACTCAGTAAGTATTACAGCTGTGATTTATTACAATGAAAGGCTACAAAGCAAAATCAGCAAAGGGACAGACACATGGGGCAAAGTCTGGAGGAAACCAGGTGCAACCTTCTGAAAGTCCTTTCCTAACAGAGCCACATAGGATGTGCTTAATTCCTTTAATACGAGTTGTGACAGCACGTGTGAAATATTGTCTACTGGTCTCATTAGAGGCTCAGTGCCCAGAGTTTTTATTGGGGACTGGTTATGTAAGCACGTTCTGCATGGCACATACCCAAATCCCAGACTCTCCAAAGGAAAGCAGGTGTTCAGCATAAACCACATTGTTTGTACCAACATGTTCGGTGCAGTGAGCCGCTCTTAAGTGTTTGGGGGAATTGGGGAACCCTCTTGAAATCCAAGTTTCTAGATGCCAGCCAAGGGTCAACCTTGTAAGCAGGCCTTGTAAGGAGAGCAGTCTCCAGCCTGCTGCATTAAGTCCTCTGCACTTGGAATGATTGTTAGCACTTCAGTTGCTGAGAAAGGGGTATTGATGGAGCAATGTTTCAAAATTCAGGGGAGTCTGATATTAAGTCATGTTTCTGGAAGTGAGGTTTGAGTTGGGGACAAAAGAAGAGGATTCAAGGAGGAACCACAGAGCCCAGAGGGCTGAAAGTGGTCCTGGTCTTCTGTCACGTGCAGGAGATAAGAGAAGCAGATGGAGAACATGAGTGTGTTTTAGGAACCCAAGAGAAGGGAGAGGCTCAAAATGGAAGAAGTCCTCCATTGTACAATGCTATAGATCGGTAGGAATCCTGGGGACTGCAAAAAAGTGCCATTAGGAATTCTTATAGTAATGTGTAAATTGATTTTTTTTCTTAAAATGATCTGTACACATTAAAGCAAGACTTTTCCAGCCAGCACTTTAATAGCTTCCCTGCCCATCGCATCTTTGTTTTCTTTTGATCACTTTACAAAATCCCTATTTCAATTTTTTTTTGTCATTGTCTTGCATTAGTTTATTTGGGTTTAGATGTCACAGGCAGGTAGAAATGGATGAGCTTTGGTAAGGCTAAACAAAATTCTTTGAGTATTACTGCCTACTTCTCTCTGGTAATTATTTAAGGACAACAGTCGCCAAAAAGCATCTCTTCCGTTCTTGATGGAAAAGTAATTCTGTTTGTTCATTTAAGAGGATTGTGTTTGCTCTTCCATTAATCTCATTGCTGCTTGCTAGTGAAGAATGAAAATTGAAAACTGCTTGTTTTGAGTTCCAAGGGGATGGTGAAAGTGTTTGAATTTCCTACAACACCCTTGGACTCTTCCCAGACCTTGACTTCTAGGTCCTAACACTGATACTTAATTTCTCTTTTTGTGGGTTCTCAGATGTTAACATTGTGCAGCCCCTCTGAGATGGATGCCCAGCCTTACAAAGAACCACATGACCCAATAGCGGCTTTGCCTTTGCTTATAATAAAATCCTATCTGAACCACATTTATTTGGGGAAAAGAAACAATTCTTTTTGTGGCTGACTTTGAGTAGTTAGTGGCACAGAAAATACTGGTGCCTCCTCTCATGATCCAGATGTTTCAGGAGTGGGAAGTTCTTGGATGGCAGAGGGTGGAGGACATAAGTGCTGAATGTGGCATTTGCAGTCCCTTGAGTTACCTTGAGTGGTAGGGCCACTTTTGGCCTTACTTGCTTCATTGGACTTCAGGAGGTCAAATGCGTGCTGTGATTGAAGTGGTTTTAAATTCTCTATCTCTTGTCCTAACATCCCAGGGCTTCCAGCAAAAATTCTCCTTCCACAGTAAAGAGATTGTGGCTATCAGCTGTTCCTGGTGCAAGCAGGCGGTAAGTTTGGGGACAAAATGAAACAAAATGGGCTTATGTTTTATCACAGTAGACTTATGTCATTACCCAAGTTACTGTCTATAAGTGGAAGGTTATTCTAATTTATGTATTATTTCTCTCATGTAGGATTCTTGAAGGAAGAAAGATTAAAACTATAGAACTATAGCCTATATGACCTGGAAGAAACTATAGAGATCAATTAACCCCTTCATTTATATACACTGAAGCCTAGGATCAGAGACTGGGAAATCCTTCCCTGGTTCTAACCTGGGCCTAGAATCAAGGACTTCTCACCCCATAGACTGTATTTCTTCCACAACACTAGATTGTTGATAACTCCTCTATGGTTGGAAGTTGCAACATTAGATAATCCCTCTAACACCAGAATCCAGCCATGTTGGTTCTTGTTTTTGATGTGGGTGACTTTCTTACGGGGTGCTGTTGGGGTAAGGCATGGTCTCGTATCCTTCTTTAGGCTTGGATATTGTTATAGCTGTGTGTATACTCATTGAAATGTAACTCTTCTTTACATTTGAGCATATATATTCATTAGGATCCAATGGTAGTTTCCCTGTTTTCCTCTTTTATCTATCCTTTGTCCATTTTTTAACACCTCTCTTCCAATCAGGTGGTTCATTTTCTTGTTTGCTTATGCACCTGTTTTGTTTTGTTTTTTTTTAACCAGACAGTGCTAACTCATGGGTTGACAGACTATGGCCCATAGACCAAATCTGACTGCTGCCTGTTCTTATAAATACCATTTTATTGGAACACAGCCATGCCCATCCATTTATATATTGTCCATGGCTTCTTTCAGGTTACAACAGCAGAGTTGAGTAGTTGCAACAGGGAAAGTATGGCCCCCTTAAAGCTAAACTATTTACTATGTGGGCCTTTTATAGAAAAAGTTTGTGGACCCCTGCTCTAATCTCCCAGTTCACCTACTTTGTTGAATGACTATATAATTGGGACGTAGAGTTCACTCATTGCACAGCCAGCCTGAAAAGAAAGGGCTGTGGTGTTCCAGGTAATTTAAGGGTCTACAGGAAGACTTCAGCCCTCTACACACATCAGACTTAACTAGCCAAAACAGCCCACAGGGCAGGAGCAGATACATTTAGTTGAAACACATAAAATTGACATTTTTGTGGGTCAAAACCTTTTGAATTTGGGGAATCTTATAAAGTTTGACCTAACCTCTCTGGCATAATTTCCCTAGGCACCCAAGTATCAGGAGAACCTACTGTTGCTAGGTAGGGATGCATTTGTCTGGAAAGCTCATTGCTCACTGTATCCCTATCCTGCCACATTTTCTAGGCATTTCCATCTCCCGTCAGTTAGTTTTTACACAAATAATCTCTGTGCTTCTGTTCAAGAACATGCTCACAAATGTAAGGTCATCCTAGTTCTTGAATGAAACTATACCAGCAAAGCAGTATATCCACCTGGAGAGAAAGAAGCTAATTCAGGTTCCAGTTGTCCCTGACAGTATCTGTGCTGCTAGTTCCCCTGATCTGTTGAGGCCCCCACCTGTGGGAGAGCATCACTGGTGGTTTGAGCTCCTATAGACTTCGTCTGCTCCACCCCTGTGCTACCAGGCTGTGATGAGATGGGTTATCCAGGGTCCGTTAATTTGGGAACTCACTCCCACTTTACATGGCGCACATGTTCTCTTGTCATTAATTCATAGTCCAGTTGAATCACATTGTAGGTGATTTTGCAAGAATTAAAGATACAAAACATTTTGAGACAAATTACACCAGTGATATATTTTAACCCTCCAGGTAATCCCTTCTAGGATATCTGATGTCAAACAAGTGCTGTCTATAGGCACTTTCTGCAGCAGGGAAAAAAAATGGGTTCAAGAGCTGGTTTTTGGGGCTTTAGGCTCTGACTCCACCTTGTAAAAGTTAGGCACTTTTGGACATAACTCTTAGTCTGTGGGATTGGCGATTACTCGGCTATAAATTGACAGTTGAAATGGGTCATCTTGGGGGATCTTGACCATTTTAGAAATGCACTGAACATCCATTTAGGGATTTATTTGAATTGCTTAAAAGAAAGTCAATTTTGGGGGCACCTGGGTGGCTCAGTCGTTAAGCGTCTGCCTTCGGCTCAGGTCATGGTCCCAGGGTCCTGGGATCAAGCCCCGCATCGGGCTCCCCACTCCGCGGGAGGCCTGCTTCTTCCTCTCCCACTCCCCCTGCTTGTGTTCCCTCTCTCGCTGTATCTCTCTCTGTCAAATAAATAAAATCTTTAAAAAAAAAAAAGAGAAAAAGTCAATTTTTGAAGAAGGTATTCAAATAATATTTTCTAGTATGTCACTGTTTGCAGATCACAAATAACTGGTCATTGGGGAAATTACTGACTTATTTTGCATTCATACCTAATTAGTAATTTGCTATGGGATCATGTGAGGATAGGCAGAAATGAAGACAAATTCCCTCTGTGACATAATTGGGGTGGCCATATTTGCCAGGTTTCCTGAGACAGTCCTAATTTATGTTTGTTGTTCCAACATAATTATTAGCAGTGCTCCCTTTCATTCTTAAAATTGTTCCCATTAAGATGACAATGTATGGTTCCACTAAGTATAATACAGTAGAAACAGATGTTAAAGTTTTTAAAAATCACTGATTAAAACTTCAAGGCCCACAATTATTGTGTAATGTGGATTTTGTTTACTAGGAAAAAATTGTTACCACACATCATTATCATTTTACACACAAAAGATGATGGTCACTCAGTCCATTGGTACAGAGCTAAACCACTAATCCTGAGGTATTGTTATGATCATCAGTTACATTTACTTTCTTCCTTTCAAAAACAGGAAGCCTTTTAGACTTACCAAGTGTAGTTAGGGTCATTGTATTTTTTAGCAGCCCCAGACAAATCCAGCAGAGGCAATCTCTTCGTTACCTCTTGCATTAAGAACTCTCTAGAACAGACCTGCTGCTTCTTTCCTGGGTTTCCTAAACTAGAGGGACTACCTGGGTTGGATTTACACCTATGATTAGAAAAAAGAGGGACAGGTGAGAGAACCTGCCTTTCTGCTTGCCTTCATTGCCTCCCCAGCATTATCCCATATCAAGTCTGTGACAAGTGCAAGTCAAGTGCAACAAAATTATATCCAGGGTTAGGATTAATAGAACCCTCCGAGACCTCGTTATATAAATATCCCATTAAAAGCTTACAAAGTTTTAGCTGGCCTTGACCTACAAGATTGATTTCTTTATCAGTTTGTAAAGTGGAATGAGTTCCAAATCTGGTCTCTCAGTTCCGGGGCTGTTTGGGTGGTGATAAGGAGCATGTGTCTTCCATGTCTGCGAGGCTGGGTGAGTGCCTGTGTGCGCATGTTCTTAATTCCTTCTTGCTTTAGTGGTGCCCTTGGCCCAGGATTGTTTATTGGCCTTTTTTTCTCCTCAGTTTCACAATAAGGTGACCTGCTTCATGCTGCATCAAATTGAGGAACCCTGCTCCCTGGGGGCTCACGCTGCTGTTATTGTCCCGCCCACCTGGATCATTAAGGTGAAGAAACCTCAGGTAACTTCTGGGCCCCTGGTGCTGCTGGGCCAGTGCAGAGAAAAAGGAACTGCTGCTTCTTGCTTTTCTTGCCCTGACTCTTTTTTGGGTTCCGAAAATCTCTGCTCTCTCATCCCCACAGCCCCATGCTTAGCTTCCCCAGTTCATTCCATTAGCCCATCACTTTACTGCAGTTGGGCTCTCTCATGGAACCAGCCTCCCGTTCCTGAAGAAATCCGAGTTCCACAGCAGGAATGGTTCCTTCCCCTTTATGTGCTAATGGTACTCACTTTGGGTGTTCTCCTAAGTTCGTTAAAGACTAGTAGTGGGTGCAGCTAATTCTTACACACCTCTCTTCTCTTCCAGCCTGGGCATCCCCAGGGAGTGAAGGTGAGGGCAAACTGTGCAGGCTTCATTGTTTGGTTGAGCTTACCACCACTTCCAACCTGAACGGCAGACTGTGGGTCATGACCTTCCTAAATACACAAGGCCTGCCCAGAGAGCAACACTCTTTTCTTAAGGCAAAGTAGAATTTATCCTCTTAATATCTAATCTCATTCTGTATTCAGTTCTTGTTGTACATTCTGTCCTAGAGCATCTCTGCAATATGCCACGAAACCATAGGGGTTTCTCAAGAAGGTCGTAATCTTTGATAGCCAAATTTCTATGTTCGTACCATACATCTTAGACCTTGAGCTCCAAGTTATGGGATGGCAGACTTGTAATGCTATGGTGGGAAAGATGATACCTCTCCTAGAGATGCAGCTACCGTACGATGGCCTATTGAATGTAATATCTTTAAAAGATATGGCAGTCCTACTTTATACGGTCTTCAAAATCATCATGCAGTTTATTCTCACTGATTCAGTTGTATTTAAAAAACTGGTGGGTCAAGGACACTGTTTTGCTTTGTGTGTTTTTACATATAGTTCAGCTTCTGTTGATGAGTAACATTTAGTAATAAGCTTTCCTAGTTACAGTCCACAAAAGCCCTTGGGAAATCTCTTCCAGAGGCAAGTGCAGTATCTATACATTAAAAAATGGAGAGTCTAGCTTTTTCATCTTACATTTTAGAGCTGTTAAATGAGTGGCCCAAGGTGATAGCAAGTGTAGTACTGCATTTGAAATTCAAGTACCAATTCCAATTTACTGTTAATTTAAAATCTCTAACCTTTTTACTTCTTTGGTTCCCCAACCCCTAAAATTCAGTAATCTTTCTAAGAGTGTTATATTAAATATTCAGTTAAATCAACATGTTTTCGCTGAAAACTTTGATGGTAATAAGAAAGCTCCTAGGCATTATGATGTAATGCATGATCCTTGTTCTGAAGAACTGTGTAGTTTTCTTAAGGAAAGATCAGGGAGAATCTCATGAAGGAGGTGAATTTTACTCTACTTCTTTAAAGATGGGTGGGATTTAGATCGATGGAGAAGAGAGGAAATAGCAGGCAGGAGAATGGCATGAGCAAGGGTGCTGTGTCCAAAATTATATTCATGAAGCTGTGAGACTAGTTTACACTACATGGGTGGTAGTGTATTTCTGTGACGTTGCTTTCAAAGGAATGGGGTAGCAGATTGTTCACTCTTAGTTCTAAGACTGATCAGTGAGTTTGGGAGCTATGCTTCTAATGCATCTATCATAAACTTGTCCATCAGCCTTTCACCATTTTATCCATTGAAGATTATTACCTAAATCTGTTATATTAGGAGTTACCAAGAGGTGGTTTTCCCAATTTTTACTCTTCTTTATTTTCCTGCTGGTAATAAGGGAACTAAAAAATAAAGCCAATACATGACAGATGCTTGAGTATTTACCTTTATTTGTAAATTTTCAGAATAATAAGTTGGTACCTTAGCAACGTTATTAGTTGGCTAAGGGTGGTGGTGGTGGTTTTCAGAGAGTATCATTATGAATTGTCAACTTACCTTATGTGATATATAAAAATCCATCGGCATCATTTTTTTATATTCATATTGTTTTATCTTTGACCAGTTAGACCCCCTTTCAGATGGCTCTTGTCTCCATTTTTCATGAGCCATGAGGGTTTTGATGCCTTCCTTGGTTTCAGGAATCATACCATGTTCCAGGATCATCTTATGCATTTCCTGCCCATACCTGGAAGCAGCCATTTCTCTGAGGAATCTTGGTTACTTTTAATGGCGGATGGTATTACAGTTCACAGTCTGGATGCTAAAGTCCATATTGATTTCATCACACACACGTCTTTTTATTGTCCTTCTCTGATTCAGAAAGTACTAATTAAGAATAAGAAAAACTAACACATATTGAATGCTTTTATATGTATCAGGAAATATTTTAAGTACTTTACATTCAGTATCTCATTTTACCATCAAGTGACCTCTGAGGCAGGTATCCTATTCCCACGTTGTAGCTGAGGAAAGTGAGAATTAAAGTCAAATAAATTACCTGGGGCCATATAGTTATTAAATAGTTTGAGGTGACATTTGAACCTAGGAATTCTGATTCTGGAAACCAAGTTCTTAATGATATGTCCTGCTGCCTCACTGTCTTACTATAGCAAGCCTTGCTGAGTCACATATCTTTAAAAATTTTGTAGTCCCTCCTCCTATGGGCCCCCAAAAGAAATAATTTAATTAATTAAATTCCATTTGAAAGCCAGTATATGATGATCATGTGGGACAATACAGTTGTTAAGAGTTCTAGCTCATGAACGATAGACTCTGAAAAACAAACTGAGGGTTCTAGAGGGGAGGGGGGTGGGAGGATGGGTTAGCCTGGTGATGGGTATTAGGGAGGGCACGTTCTGCATGGAGCACTGGGTGTTATGCACAAACAATGAATCATGGAACACTACATCTAAAACTAATGATGTAATGTATGGTGATTAACATAACAATAAAAAATTAAAAAAAAAAAAGACTTCTAGCTCATGAGCCAGACTGCCTAGATTCTTAAACTTGCTCTGCTGTTTAATGACTTGTATAATCTCAAAGAATTTAAACTCTTCAGCTTCTCATCTGCAAAGTGTAAATAATACTAGTACCTAATTATAGGGTTTTCATGAGGACTAATGAACTAAAAAAAATAAAAATAAAGCACATAAAACAGAACCTAGCTCATTGTAAAACTCAAAGTTTAGCTCTTGTTATTTTCCTTGTTGAGTACAGGGTATCAAATGAAGTTCTACATCAACAGATGAAAAACAATAACAGAAGTTATTGTTCCCTGAGCCATCTGTATTACACTGAGAGAATAAGGGGAGAGAAGGATTCTCATGGGGAAAGAGGCAGAGTAGGGGCCACAGCCTGGTGTTGGGTGTGCTCTCAAGTGGCATCTCAACCTACACCACTATAACTGTTGTATTTTACACTGTAGTGGGATTGTGTGTTCACTAGCATGATCTTTATCCCATGGCAGAGAGTTAAGAGCTATTCATTTACTGAATTGAAGAACTGAAGAAGACACGGTGAGCATCCACAACCAGAAAGTGAAAGGAGGTAGAGAATCCTGCAGAACAGGGAGAGGCCTCTCATAGCACAGAGTTTCATTATGAAAAATGGAAAGAAAAATAGGGAAGTCATCAGTGTTAAATTCTCTATGCATTACAAAATAACAAGGATTGAGAAGAGTCTTTGTGTTTGGCTCTAGAGCATTGATGACCATCAAAACTATAGTTTGTAGAGTGTGGGTGGCAAGCTGTTAGTGATGGCGTGGAAGCAGTGAGATTCAAGAATTCACTGGAGACATGGAGAAAGGCTAAAAAAAGAATGTGGAAATTAGATGGAGAACAGCAGACAAAATGTGTTTCCTACTTGTAGAATTTATGTATATTTTTTTCTGTGTATTTCTGTATGCGAGGACACTGCTTAAAAACAAGAAGATATTCTTAACTGCATGAAGTAGACATTTAACTCCATTCACAGATGCCATTCGATGCAGCAGGAGGCCCACAGATGAAACAGATGTTCATTTGATGTCCACAAAGAATATCCTCCTTATGGGAGGAAATTGATACAACAGACTAAATCCCTGGGCAGGAAGTTCGTGGATTCTGGAAAAGGAATTCAGCCACATATAAATCCTTAATAAAAAAGAGTGGTCTTCAAGTATCTGGAAGGTTTGCCTTGGTCGTCAGCTTTTAGGATGGATATACACAGGGTGGTGAGAGGAGGATGCCTCACAGGTTGGTTGGACCAGCCATGGTCTGTGAGAGGCTAACACTTCTAAGGCATTGAGGGGTGAGTGTGACCCAAGATGTAGGAATGAGGTAGAAACATGAAGAACTGAGCAATTTTGGTGGTGGAGATCATTGTAGGCTAAACAGAAAATGCTGTTTGTGCTTGGTCTTGAAGGATGTGAGGGGACTCACTGGGAAGACGGATGAAGAAGAACAACACAAGTTTATTGAACATTCTGAGAACAACTGTTAAGGTGGATCACCAAATAAAGTCAGCTTTATTTGTGATGCTTGTGTCTAAAAAATGACTCTAAAGAGAAAGAAACCTACTTGAGTGTATAATGGTCAGGAAAAGCAGGTTGTAAAGAGGTGGAATTAAGTCATATATTTTCCGTATTTGTTAAAAGTTCGCTGGTTCTGAGTAGATCATTGCTCTGGGACCAGCTGTGTAAAGCTTGGATGGTAAGGGGAACCAGGGCTGGTCTGGATGATTTGCTGGGTTTCATCACCAAATTATTTGGAGAGACCTAGAAAATAAAAGATGATGAAATTTAGATGACAGTCCATAATTAAAAGAGAACCAAATTTTAAGAATCAAGCACAAATCTGTTCATATATTTAAAGGCAAAGTTATATTTAATGTTACAGATGTCAGTGTTTCTCCTCTGGACTGAAAATGTTAGAGGATAATATTTTGACTGTATAAATAAGTTAAAGATGTTGAAATAGTAGTGCGAGTGCTTGGAGCTGATGGAGAAAGACCCACGATATGTGAATTTTTGTGGGGTCAAGTTATAGGAGACTAGAGGTGTGTGTTTTTAATAAATGACGTCACTCTGAATGTAATACTTTAAAACCTGGCTTTCCTAGCTTAAAAAAAATATTGGGGAGAAGCCTGTATTAATACATCTAGATTTAACTCCTTTTTAAACTGATATATATATATATATATATTCCATACTATAAATATGTTTATTTAGCCAATTCCCTACTGGTGGAAATTTATATTGGTTCTAATGGTCTACTTAGAAAAATGCTGCAATCAACTCCTTCCTAGCCCATGTGGGCTCTCTCCATGTTAGTCCTTATTCCTTATAATTGGATAATGTGAAAATGCTGGAGACCCAGGATATATAATACCTAGGATCAAACATATCTCTCAAAATTGCTCCAGCCATTTCCTTTGGTCAATTCTAAAGGTTAGGCAATACTTGCTATGATTTAACCAAATATGCCTGAGAAATGGCAGAGACCCTGTCCTTATCTTTTGGAAGTAGTTTTCTTTATTTCTCTGCTTGCCTATCCTCAGAACAACTTTTGTCCCAATGGTGCAGCTAGAGCAGGGCAGCATGAGAACACTCACTAGTAGACGAAGTCCATGCCTCTCCTACCACCCATCAGAGTTTTTTCCGGTATACAATGGGGGAAGGCTTCATTTGGGATGATGAAGTGTGAGATATCTTCTCTTTAGAGCTGTTGTTATAACCAGTCCTTTGTGATCCCATAACCTGGGAAAAGCCCTAAAGAATATTAAGAAGTAGTTAAGTTTTATTCCCAGTTGAGTGATTTACCCATAGGCATTTTTTTTTAACAGCCCAGGAAGGGGTCCTGACTATGATAGAGACTTTGTTGGTAGGATTATTTCTGTAGTAAAGTAGTACTACCCCAATACCTGGTCCAAAAAAACAGAAGGCCTTTATCTATTCTTAGGATTTGAACATAACAGTGGGCACAAAATGTACAGGGGGCAAATGTTGTTAGAGTCTGAAAAATGCAAAAATCCACATGAGGGTACAACATTTCACTGTTGGGATGGTGTTCAGCTTGTGAAGCAAACCCTTTATATGACTGAGTTAGCTGCCCTTGATAACAGGGATGCTCTGTTGTAGAACACAGCACAAGTATTATTAATGGTTTCTTGAATAATACCACAGCAAGTCTACAAAATAACTTCTTGGAATAATTTTTATGTTCTTGAAAATCATGCTCTTTTAATTCTCACAACAAGACTGACCCAGGCGGGGTGAGCAATATCTTAGATTAGCAAGACTAGCTGACTCGTCTTGTCATGGCTGAAACACAACCCAAATATGCTTCCACATCCATCTGTTCCTCATTGGATAATGATACCTTCTAAAAGGAGTTCTCTGTTGAGACCAAGATACATATTTACACATGAACAGAAGGAAGCCTCGAGAATTTTGAGGTGTGCTGTGAAATCCCATACTGCTTATCTTTTGCTATTTGACTATAGGGCTGTAAGCTTACTCCGAGCTCACATAGAAGCATCCAGGGACTGTAAGTCAACCACTGTGCTTCATCTGAGCCCTCTTCTTGTTCTGTAAAATAAGGAAGACCTCAAGGGCATTGGGCTCCATGAGGCTCAGAAGCCTTCGTATTTGCTACATCTGTGTGAAAAAGGCCATTTTTGTATGTCTGTTCCCTATTAGAGTTGAGTTTCTTGCCTGCTCTGTTTTCAGACATCAAGCCTTCTTTGGATGTGCTTTTCTAACTCTGTTTCCCAAACATGCTTGATTAGCAGAATTGCCTGAAAGAACTGGGATTTCTGTGATCAGGCAAGTTTAGGGAACGATCTTAGCCCGATCCATTAGACTTATCTCTTAGAGCTTAGTTATTGAGTCTTGCCGGGAACCGAGGCCTATCGTGTGTTCCTGAAAGCACTTGGCTCTCTGCGTGGCTCTTGGCAATAAATGAACTAAAACAACAAAGAAGTTAGGAGACAAGCATTCACTTCCGAAAGATCCTTTCCAAAATCAGGAAGGACTCAGTAAGTGTTGTGAATTATAATATTGATTCATTTCAACAATGATTTGAGTGCATACTATGGGCCAGGCATTGGTGCTCGGTGCTGGGGATATACAGCTGTGAACGAAGCAACTAACGTTTATGGAAGCGCTTATCATGGGCCGAGACCAAGCTAACTGCTTCACATACCTTTCCTCCTTTTAACTTCACAACTATCCTGTGAGGTAGGTATTATCACCTTCATCTTAAAATTAAGACACTGTTATTTCAAAAGCTTGACTGACTTGGGCAAGGTCACAGATCTCATAACGGGAAGACCCAGAATTACCACCCAATGTGTCCGATTCCATAGCTCATGCTCCTTATCCCATTGAAATGATGCTTTCGTGCAGTATGTACGTCCCCTCACTTTTCCCTTTGACTTCAGAGGCTCTCAACTCTGGCTGCACACTAGAATTGCCTGGGGAGCTTTTAAAAGGTACCTTTGCCTTGGCCTCACTCCAAACAAAGAATTTTCGGGAGTCCACATATTTGCATTTTTAAAAGAGCTCCGGGTGAGGCCAACGTGTAGTGATGGGTTAAGAACCACTCAGTATCATTAATTGCCATCCTAAGAGTTTCTAACATTATTCTTGGGACATTTGGCTGATTAAGTGTTTGCAGTTTCCAGGTAGCTTTTCTTCCCTTTTAAACAAAGTAGTTCACATGTAAGAAATACTTTAATAATGCAAAAGTTTCCCCCGAAGTGGAACATGGTAATAAACCAATTTAAAGAGGAATTCAGAAACTTGGAGATCTTTTTTTTTTTTTTTAAGATTTTATTTATTTATTTGAGAGAGAGAGTGAGAGAGAGAAAGAGCACAAGAGGGGGGAGCAGGAGAGGGAGAAGCAGACTCCCTGCCGAGCAGGGAGCCCGATGCGGGACTCGATCCTGGGACTCCAGGATCATGACCTGAGCCGAAGGCAGTCGCTTAACCAACTGAGCCACCCAGGCGCCCTGGAGATCTTTTTGTAGGAGAAGTATAGTCCATGGTGAGTGTAAGAAATAACCTGGGGTCTAGAGCAGCCATGAGCTTCTGAGCTTCTGGATCTCTCTCTTCTGGTGAGACTCAGAACCTGAAAACTCTTTTAATCTGATGGGGGAAGAAGGCTTTGGGGCAAATGGTGATTCAGGAAAGTTTCCTTCATCCTTCATGAGCACCGGCTACAGAGCAACATATGTTTTTATGGTCCAAATGAAAGTAAAATCAAAAGTTAAATAGTTTCAATCTTGCTAATTTGAATGTGTTAATATATGTACTCGAGACTAAGGTTTATTTTGAATGAGGTAAGAAAAAAACACCCAGCAACCTAAAAGAATAGATACCTAAGTTTCTTGAAACTGTTTGAAAATCTTTATCTGCTCAAGCAATGCATGTGTATATGCTTATATAAACTTTTAAGTTAAGCATTCTGTGTTTCAGGCTTTCAACACTTTGTTAAACATCTATGATGTGATAGTAACATCTTGCCTTTGTGAAGATGGCAATCTAATTAATTATTGACTCTCCACTAATTAAACCAGTGAGTTGTGACTGTCCCCTAAGAGAGGTTCTTCTCAAAGCATCTGTATCATATATTAAGAGTAAATGGTTAGTTGAAGTAATCACAAAGTTGTGGTCCATAAAATTCCTAGAAAGAGAAAAACAGGTAAAGTAAATTTGGGGTCACTGTGTTCCACAAGTTGGAGGCACATCTATGAGAAGAACAAATCAAGGCTACCGGGGGAGGGAAGGCTTTTTAAACTAATAGGTCTCTAGAGAAAGACCTCTACTAATATAAGTAACTTAAAGTGAGTCTTATCTCTGCATTTTAAAACGTAGCCACCAGCGCTGATAGGATAGTTGGATCATAATGTTCCACAGGGGTCGAGTCACTTTATGACTATTAGTAGAAAGGTCATTACCAAAAAAAGTAAACAGAAAAAAAAGAAAGAAAGAAAGAAAGAAAAGAAAAACATGAAAAATGGCCTCCTTTTTTACATTTCCACATAGGTGATCTCCATTGCAGGAGATGAACTTGAACTTGGTTGGGCGGGAGACGGACCTGGTTGGGCGGGAGACTGGAGCCCCTCAGAGAATTTGGGATTCTTCCATTTTTACTGGGAGGGTTGGCAGGTATAACTTGTGTTGTTATGTGAGTCCATGAGAGCCTCCAGGGTTCTAACTCCCTGCCTCTCCGTGTGGTGGGGAGTCGGTCGCTCACTCTGAAGCACTCGACTGGTTTCTGTCTGTGGCTTACCCATGAACAGTGGCTTGGAAGTGTCAAAGCATGAGAAGCATGCGGGGGAACAGCATGCGCTGCCCTCATCTCCTACATGGGTCTGCATGGGAATCTCGGGCACTGTCTGCCTCTGAGCTAAGCTGTTTCCTTCTTTCCCTACAGAACTCACTGAAGGCTTCAAACCGGAAGAAGAAGAGGACAAGCTTTAAAAGAAAAGCCAGTAAAAGAGGGACTGAAGTAAGTGTTTCAGGACTCCGTCCCAGTGAGCAGCTACATCCTCCTGACCGTAGCTACCTCTGTGTGATTTGATCTGGCCCAAGCTTCTTTTCCTGATAAATTTTCAATCCCTCTTCCCTCCTTTACTACACTCAAACCACACACTGGAATTCCTTTCTATCTCTGGAAAATGTGTATATGTATAACCTCCTGCTACTTCAGGATCAGAGCATTTGCACTCGTCCATGGAAGTATTTTCCCAAAGATGATGAAGATGAAGACCTCACATTTCTAGAATGCTCAGAGCATACAGAATAAAATAAAAAACATGGCTTATTCTCCAAGGCAAATTATAGCTTGAGATCCTTTCTTCTAAACTTTATATGGACTATCTTTCAAAGAGTAAGCCCCATGAAACAGGATGTAGCTTTTTTATTTGGCGGGATCAAGGGTTAGCGGTGGTGGGGTGTTGATAGTTTTCCCTTTCATCGCTTTTGGGCTACCTGTCCAAGTCGTGGATGAATGTCTCAATAGTGTTGCTTTCTTCTTTCAGCAGGAAAACAAAGGTCGTCCTTTTGTGATAAAACCTATCTCTTCTCCTCTCATGAAACCCTTGCTTGTGTTTGTGAACCCCAAGAGTGGAGGCAACCAGGTAAGTCATTTTTCATGAGTTTAACTTGGAAGCCTCAGTGCCTTCTTGCAAACAGTTCCCAACACCAATTAAAATGGCACCACCTAGAACCCCAAGCATTGAAAGACAACCAGTTTCTCAGGGACAGGGTTATTGATGTAGGGCATAGCCTTATATACTGCAGGGTTAGGCAAAACCTAGAGGTCCTATGATTTAACCCTCAGCTTCCAAGCAAGACTACACCAGCGGCACTCCAAAACTGCTGACATTTTCCTTACAGATTTTCAAAAAAGGTCATCCCCAAATCTCTTGGTTAATATGTTTCAGAGTTTCTTAACTCTTACTGTTAGGAAGCTCTTTATGGACTTCTCTTTATGGCTTCCCCTTATAAGTTAGACCTGACTACTTTCATCCCTATCCTCAGAGCAAAGCGAGAACAATGACTCATCATTCCCAATGATCATTAACAGCAGATGCCAACAACGCTATCAAAAATATCACCTTCTAAAGGTTTCATTTGGTCCAAACCCAAATCTTGTAGCATAATTAATCACGACCTCATTTGAGGAGAAAGTAACAGCCTAACAACACTCAAGTATGATGACATACCTGAAGTGACAGAGCTCTTTAAAGGACAGAATTTGCTCTAGAATCTAGGTCTTTGTCTCCTCATACCCTTCTCTTCCTACCCTGAGGCTTCTTATCAGTACTCTTCTTTGGCTTTGATTTTTCTCTACCTTCGTGTGAGAATAAATGATAAAATATTTTCTCTGTCCACTAAGTGCACATTTTACATTTTGAGGTGAGATTCCTTGAAGTTTCACACTTAACAATGACAGATTTGAAACTGTCTAGTTAACGCCACGTAAGGAGGGAGTCGTATAATTAGGACTGATGTTCTTACTACCAAGCATAAGGGGCATTTTTCCAGAATGGATTAATTACAGTAAAGCTTCTCTTAGGAGAGCTTGTGATTTAAAGAAAATAGTTTCTCTCCATTTCTTTCTTTACTTTAAAATTCTCGATAACTTGCTGTGTTAAAAATCTTTAATGTTGAAGAGAACAGGGAAAAAAAAATGTGCCATGAGTGGAAAATCTATTTTCAGCATCCTGCTTTTTTAAGTTGGTGAGTGATGTTGGTGATATTGTAATGATGGCGATCCTGAGACTGTCACTAGAGGGGCTTTTTGGGGGTGATGTTCAGTGTGCCCTGAACCATAGTCACTCCCTAGGTCTGGTCTCCCTAGAGCCTAGTGAGGGTTGGAGGTGTATTTGGGGACCACAGAACAGAGCAAAGCTGATGTAATTGACTCCATTGATTTTGACCACTTGAGTATCACATGCTAATTCCCAATATATTTTATCATGAGGGTCATTCTAGAAGATGCACTCATTAAATCATAAGCCTTTTTCCTAGGGCATTTAGAAACTTGTAGGTTTCAGGAGCAGACAGGCCAGTAAAGATAGAGCCCATTTTTGTTGGGATCTCTGCGTAAATTAGTAATGCCAGGGACTTCAGAGATGATCTGATGTTGTTTCCTATTGCACTAAATAGAAAACAAGAAAGCTTAAGTAAATTTTCTAAGGACATCCTGTTAATGACACCAAAGGGGCAAATGGGAAAAATAAATCAAGCAACATTAATTATATGTGAGTTCTAAATTGAGTGGATCAAACCGAGACTGCTCTGGAATTTCAGAGCAGTGGTAGTGGTTAAGAAGGTGGTGTCATGGAAATGGCTGAATTGAAGATGGACACTACTTATTTATGCAGAGAGAGAAAGCTGGGGGAGCAGTGCCCCTTTCCTTCTCTCTCGGTGGCAAACTCCTGTTCATCCTTTAAGGCTTGGAACCATTTCTCAAAATGAATCACCCTGTCCACTGTGCTCCCATAGCACTTGGGAGCTATTTACACAGAAGCTGTATTTTGTGAGTTGCAATGTAAGTGCTCTATGGGGGTTCTGCTAACTTACAGGCTCCATAATACCTGGGGCTGCACCTTTCAACCTGTGCTTTCTAGTACGTGGGCTATAGAAGTGAACAAATAATTGTATAATAAGCAATCAGGGTTTTACAGCAGATTATCTGGACAGTGGCTTCGTTACTGATGAGAATTCAGGAAAGGGAAGAATTATTTTGGAAAAGAAGTTGAGATGTGTTTGAGGTACTGGAAGTGACTGTGAGATATTCAAATAAAAAATGCCCAGTCATTAGAGACAAAAGACTTTACTGATTGGCTCTCATTTTGTGCATTTTGGCTTATGAGATTACTTCTAGAATATCTAGGATTCTCAGAAGTATGGCTAACCAAATCAAGATGAATATTGCATAATTTTACATTTCTATATACTTTCTTTATAAAATAGAATTCTTTACTAAGCCTAATAAAGAGCATTGCTTCTAAGCATGGTATGAAATGTTGAGAAACTTTAAAGACATCCGAATACCTATGTATAATTGCAATCATTCAAACCGATCTCCTTAGGAAGGCACAGCTTGATTCCCAGTTGTAGTGAGTAGGGAAGGGTCGTGGTCATTGATGATCTAATTCCTCTGTTAGGGCCCCCCTTTTCCTGTGCTGTGTCTGTCTATGCCCTTAACATTGCAGAAGAGGGGAGATTCTGGGTGATGGAGAGTCCGAGGATGAACTGTGAAAGTTTCTCCCTCCTTGACTCCCTTGAATCTTGTTTCCTCCATAATTTTGCACCCTCCCCTGCCCGACCTTCATTGAGACTAAAGGGTCAAAGGAGAACTAAGGATGGCAGTGAAAACAGGGCAAGTGAACCCCAAGAAGTTGGCCCTGAGATTCTGCTTTTTTCTTTTTTTTTTTTTAACATCCATGTTTTCATACAACTCAAGGGTAAAGAGTCAAGTTAAGCTCATTCAATCAGTTTTTTGTCTTTGAGCTTATTAAATGTGCTGTTGGATGGTGTCATTCAATAAAGGTGCCTTCCCAGGTTGGATGCCTCTTGCAATCATGAATTAGAGCCTGCCATTGGTACCCTATAGATTCGGCAAGTGTTTTTTGTTTTTTGTTTTTTAAATTATGTTCAGTGAGATTCTGCTTTTCTAACAAGCTCCCAGGTGACTGTTACTGCAACTCAAAGACCACACTCTGATTAGCGAGGGCTGACTAGAAGTACTTCACTGCTGTTGTTGTTCAATCCTGTTTTTTGCCTTTTAATGACTGATTTATTTTGCTTATCTTTGGGAGATAGAAAGCACCCCTTATTTGAAGCCTAGCCTTCAAACTTTTATTTAAACTTGCTTGGGCTTCTCTTAAGTAAATAACTACACTCTCTTGCCACCTTCTGGCAAGAAAAATACCTATAGCTTTTTAAAAAACCGTATTTTTCTCGTATGCAGAAATTTTCCAACACTTTGCAGGAGTACATTGAGATGAAAACATTTGGAACTGCTTCTATGTACCTTTTAAACAATAATTTGTTTTAAACACTTATTTCACAATAATTGTCTCTATTTTTCCCTCACTTAAGGTGGAGATGATAGTGGGTGTTTTGAAAGTTTTAGAGGTTGGCAGTGCTCTTGTTGGGGGAACAGGAACTGGAATCAGGGACCACAAGATCAACTTTGAGTTTCTCCTCCTGTGGAGAAGATGTAATACCTGGGAGATAAAGTTTACACCAGTACAGTCCCCTCCTCTGTGTTTGAAAACCTGAGGACTCGAGAAATAGCCACCCTCCCTTACATAACTTAACCTCCACTCTTAAGTACTTGTTTTTCTTGGATGTCCCTGACTCATTAGCATCTTTCTCCCTGAGTCTTACAGACACTTCTGATATCTCTCGATATTTCCTACTTTCATACGATCTCTTCTGAAGGCTCCCTCTCAGGACTTCATTTCCAGGAACTTAGGTTGTATGTTCAGGGTTAAGCAGGTGTTCTGACCCCTAGAGTGATTCTACCTTGTCAGTCCTGACAGTTGGGGGGTCTGAACCCTGGCTTCTCACACTGTTCAATGTGAAATCCCAGGGTTGAGGGGTGGCATGAGTTGCATTTGACTTCCCAGGGGCTTTATCAGTAGATGGCAAGAGGAAGGGGGTGTCCAGTCTGTGGGCAGGCTCACGCTGAGTTCACCACCATCCCATGGCTGGATCTATGCACCGTCACCCCAGGGCCACCCCTCCTAAGTCAGGGACAAGTCAACCAAGGTGGGAGAAGGAGACAAAAGTCAGTAACTTCAAATGTTTGAGTCCCCAAACTTTCTAAATACTTGAGCAAACAACCTCAATGATATTCTGTGATGTACAACTTGGGGATAAATCAAGAATCAGGATGTTTGGATAAAATTTTAGGCTCCTAATGCTTAGAATAGGCTAGGGAGAGGGCAGAAGGGTAGGCAGCAGATAATCACACATGTCAAAATCCACGCTCAAGATCTTCTTGTCAAGCCAACCTCAACAGATGGAATTAAAACAAGGAAACAACAAATCTGTGGAAAGTCCCTTTTCCCAGTAATAATACTCGTGGAAGTGTGGGGGGCGGGCAGCTGTCTTACTCTACTCAGGCTGCTCTCACTGAATACCAGAGACTAGATGGTTTAAAAACAGGAATTTATTCCTTACAGTTCTGGGGGCTGGGAAGCCCACGATCAAGGCACCAGCAGATAGGGGAGCTGGTAAGGTTCCACTTCCTGGTTCACGGAGCGCCGTCTCTCACTGTGTCCACTCGCTCTGTCTTCATGTGGCGGAAGCGATGAGGGGGCTCTTTAGGGTCCCTTTTATAAGGGCACTAATCCCTTCACGAGGGCTCCACTTCCCCCAAGGCCCCACCTCCTTTGAAAGGTCTAGGGCCTGCCTGGTTGTCTAGCTTCTTAGTTTATAGCCAGACTGACATTTTGATGTATCAGTCTGATTAAAACATTTCAGTGACTCTCATTTCCTATAAAACAAAGCCCAGGCCCCTTAGCAACTTAATCCACAACTCAGTTTCGTCTCCCACCGCTCCTGCCTCACGGTTCAGAGACTGAACAGGACACAGTGTCCCCATGACACGTCTGGTGCCTCGTCATTCTCTTCTCCACGTGTAAAGAAATGGTTAACTTTACTCGTCTTTCAAGAAACAGTTCAGATATCATATATGGGATGCCTTCATCTAATCCCCAAACTGGGGCTTAGAGTGTCTCCTCCGGCCACTCCTACTCCTCAGCAGGTGTCTCATTCATTTTTTTTTTTTTTTTAAAGATTTTATTTATTTATTTGGCAGAGAGAGAGACAGCGAGAGCAGGAACACAAGCAGGGGGAGTGGGAGAGGCAGAAGCAGGCTTCCTGCCGAGCGGGGAGCCCGATGTGGGACTCGATCCCAAGACCCTGGGATCATGACCTGAGCCGAAGGCAGACGCTTAACAACTGAGCCACCCAGGCGCCCGGACTCATTCATTTTGTATTTGCCTCTTTCTGAGCTTCCTGAGTGTACCCATGTGTTTTTTAAGTAAATTAGGTATTCCTTTGGGGTTGTTTGAAGCCAGTTTGAAATAATTATTTCTTAATCTCTTCCTTCCACTAGCTTTTATTTTCCTCGGGACTTTCCTAGCAGCTTTTGCCGTGATCTAGATAATCCCTCTGTGACATAAACTGAGGCTTGCTCGGTAACCCACCGGCATGTTTCAGGCTATAGAAGAGTTACAAGGATTCAATGAAGACTGATAAGCTAGTGGAGCTGATTCATTCTTTATTGACTCTCCATACCCCTAAGTCATTATCGTATTTTCTTTTATGAATAATGCCTAGAACTTCCTCTGGAGAGCAGGATCTTCCCTGTTTTGCCCATCTTTCTCTCTTCCCACCCAACAGGGTGTCTGGCACCTAGTAGGTAAGTTGATGAATCCTGTTTATTTCCCTCTAGAACAATCTACCTGTTTTCTGGGAAATTGTTTTCTCCTCTCCCAGCCTGTTCTCCAACACCTGGAGCCAGAAAGAACCTATTCGTCACTCCATAGGAATACCCATTCTCACAATATCTTAACAGGCTCAATCGTCAATGAGATGATACAGCTACAGCTGTGCATATGAGAACCCTCCTGGAGTGTGTTAGAATTGACATGCAACCTATTTTTTCCATTTAGAGAAAAGTAGACTACTCTCACAGAGAAGTGGCAGCTTTTCTCAAGAATAAAACAAAACAGAAAACCAAAAACCCCAAGTAACCTAGACTTGAGGTTGACAAAAGCCCAAGGCTGAAAGTTCTAGCCCATGGACCCTGCACCTCCTTTCCTGCTCACTAGCCATAGGACCTTAACATGAAAGCAACTGAGAACTCTATGTTCCATGTTCTTCAAGCATTGTGTCTTTCTTTCCTCCTAAATCTTGATGAACTCTAAGGCGGTTTCATGTCCTTTATCTTTGTAGTCCCGGGGCTTAACATAGTGGCTTGCTCTTTGCATGCCCAGAGAGGGAGTGAAAGCAAGGAGGAAAGGCAGGTGTATGACGGGAGCAGGGAGGAGAAAGAGCAGGAAGAAACAAACTGGCACAATAGCCTACAAAAAAAAAAAAAAAAAGTGCAGCTTGGGGATTTGGCATGTGGCCGGTGACAACGACGAGCATGTTTGAGACTCACTAGCTGTGTAAATGTCTGAGCCAGTTTATTTATTTATTTTTTTTTTAAAGATTTTATTTATTTATTTGACAGAGACACAGCGAGAGAGG